GATTAATGTGACTCTGAAGTCATTTTTAGTCTATAGTTTCATCATTAATGAGCTATAATACTTCAATAAAGAGAAACTTTCCCTCATCAACTGTGGAGCTTGGGATTCAGCTCCTATAGGAAAGGAAGGTTAGATGCTACATTCTTTTCCTTTAGATACCAGTTTGCAGAATAATGAACTGGTTATCTAGCATCCTCCAAATATATCAGTGTGTGTTTTTATTTATCTATTTTGAGTATCATTAACTCTTGGCTTTTACCATGTTTGACATATTTCCATCTGTTTCCGTTAGCATTATTATTAATGCCCAAATTGGCCCTCTTTGGCCAGCAGGCACTTCCTTGAGCTGGCTCCTGAGTCCTTTTGACCTGACCTCAGTGGTCTTTGAAAGCTTCATTGCTTTATGGTATCTCAAGATGCCCAGGCTCGCCATCTTCCTGTCCTGCCCCAGACCTGGAATCAGCCACTTGTCCAAGAACCTCTGGTTCCTTTTAGTGGTAAATGGTTTTCCATTATCTGGGCACTTGGGTGCTCATTGCTACTGGCTGGCCATTATTTCTACCATTTTCAACGGACAGAACTAGCAAGTGGCTCTCTTCTTTTTTTTTTTTTTAAGACCACATACATCATGAATTCATACTGATTATTTTTAGCTCAAATTTAGGATTATGGGGATTTTAGCTAACTTTTAAAATTTTATATTTATATTTTCTTTTACAGTGAAAATCTTGGTTCCTAGCAATACTATCATAATTACTTGTATGCTTTGTCTTACAATAAATGCAATAATTTCAGAAAATAAGCCAACATTATTACTAACAATATGGCAAAAGCAATTAAAGACATTTTATTGTTCTCTTTGTCTTTAGAATATATAGTATTAAGAATACACATTATAATTACCTGAAATAGTTCCTCTCTGTGTAATTAATCCACAGACTTGATATGTTAAGTTCATTTGCTTCATTTTCCCTTTGATTTTCAGAAATTGCTCTCTTTTTTTTGAGGAAGATTAGCCCTGAGCTAACATCTGCTGCCAATCCTCCTCCTTTTTTCTGAGGAAGACTGGCCCTGAGCTAACATCTGTGCCCATCTTCCTCTACTTTATGTGTGGGATGCCTGCCACAGCATGGCTTGCCAAGCAGTGCATAGTTCCGCACCCAGGATCCGAACTGGAGAACACTGGGCCGCTGAAGTGCAACATGCGAAGTTAACCACTGTGCCACCAGGCCGGCCCCTAGAAATTGCTTTTTGTATTTTTAATTTTTATAATTATGTAAAACATTAACTTGGTTCCAAATCAAGCATATCGTATAAAATAAAATGTATTCAAAGAAATTGCACTTCCATCCAAGTCCCATCCATGTTCCCTCCCTCCCCCTGTACGTTGCCATTTTACTTTTAGGATTTATATTTTGAAAGAATTAGTTTTTGATATAAGCATATGCGTGTGTCTCTGTATGGCTTCACCTTATTCGATAAAAGGTAGCAGAACTCTACAGGTTGTTCTCCACCTTTCTTTTCTCACTGAACATAATGTTCTGGAGAAAAGTCCCGCATCAGTGCATGTAGATGCTCATATGCCTCTGTAACAGCTGCACAGAACTCGATCGTGGAACTGACCATGGAAGATTCAGTCAGCCCCACCATGGACATTTAGGTTGTTTCTTGTATTTTGTTCTTACAAATAGAGCAACAGTGAAGAGTTTTGTGCATGCATCTTAGAATTTTTTCTGGCCAGTGAATTTTGGGGATAGATTTCTTGAAGTAGGATTGTGGGACAAGGGTAAATGCATAACGATTATGCAGGATATTGGAAAATTCTCCTCCATCGGTGAAGCTGGAGGAAGCGAGATTAGTTGGACAAGGCTTCTTGAGGATGCACATTTTGAGCCAAGTTTCTACTTTTAAGAGTTCAGTTGCTGATATATTTTGGTAAATCATATCATTAATCAAAAATGATTTGATTCTTGTCCAAAACAATCTAATTAATTCCCACAGGTGGATGGGTTTGCATCTCAAGTTTTTTTTGTTATTTTAAATTTGTAAATTTCTGCACCCAGCTTTAGTTTAGAACAGAATCCTTTCCGAATGACTTCCAAGGAATCGCTGTTACGAATTTATTGTGCAAAAAGAATGGATTAAATGCTGGGCTAAACACTGTTCAGGATAAGAAAAATATGAGACATCCTTATCTTGGCTTTCCAGAAGCTTATAATCCAGCTGAAGAGATAAGACTGAAAAACAACTATAACATAAAATAGTATGTAATACAGGCAAGTGAGAGCTGCAGAGAAATCTCACCACAACAGGAGGACGTTTCAAGCTAGATTGATCAGGAAAAGCTTCAGAAAAAATGGGGTTTGACTAGACTTGAGCTGGTGAAGGAAGCACGTTTCACCTGGGAGGGATATGAGCAAAGATGGGGGCACATGAGGTTTGGGAAATCAGTGAGATTTGGGCCACCAGCTATGATGATGTGAAAAGGTTCACACCTGGGGACAATCCCGGGAACGAGGGTAGGCTGGGCTGGGAGAACTGGGATGGGTAGAGTCTGGACTGCCCAAGAGTCAGCAGGAAGCCACTGCGGGTGGTGAGACGAGGCATTCTGTGATTAAACTGGGGCTGTGGTGAGATCAACTGGTCCGGTGTACTGAGATTGGCTTGTGGAGAACTTGGAGCAGGGAGAGCTGATAGGAGGGTCCCAGACTTGCCAGATTAATGCAATAGGAAGGAAGGGCTGCCCCTGAAGAGGAGGGCACAGGTGGGGTTGATGACCTGACTGTCAAGGCAGAAGAGGGACAAAGGGTGAGACTGCGAGATTCTGCACCTGCAGTGCTGGGAGGATGGGAACTGCATCAGCCAACAGGGAGAGATGCCGGAGCTGCAGTATTTGTTCTTCCACAGATTTCCCAGGGAAAGAAAAACACTGCCGATACTGTCTTGCTTAAGTGTGGGTGATCTGGGTAGTGGCAATGACTGAAGAATTCAGATGGATCAACTGTTGATGAGATTGTCTAAACACAACTATGAAGCACCCCTGGGTTCCCAAGTATCCCCTTGTGTTGATGGAGAAGGCTGCCCAGAAATCTCTGTGTCTCTCACTGTGCAGAGGTCAGGGACCCTCCCTGGAAATCACGCTAAGTTACTCCAGATTCCACTGGGAGGTTTGGGAAATTTCATAGTTGAGGTGGACATCTGGCCAGCCAGCATCATTTCATCCTATTCTTAATAACAGCCTCTTAAAATTCATCCCTCCCCCATGTTCAGACCCTGTGGTCCAGGAGAAGAAAATCCACCCCTGGCTCCAGGGGGTGGTGAGTAACCAAGGGTCATAACCCACACTATATTTCTGGCCAAGTAAGTGGTTCAGGAATAAGCATTGAAACCCAGTTTGGGACATCAGTTGTGCCATTGGGGAAGCAATCTCTCTCTAGTAGACTTGAACCTGAGAGGATGTCAGGCTGAAGTGACTGAGGGCTTCCAGTTACCACATGGATCCTGTGAATTAAGTCAACACAGGAGAGCACAAGTTGTCTCTTAGTAATTTACTTTAAAAATGTTTTGGCATGAAGAGTGTAGTCTATGAGTGTAGATAGCGTCTGTGTACATCCTGGGACTTACTAGCTGGCATTTGAAGTACCCTCCTCAGAAATCCACCCTCCACAGGAAGTTGCTTAAGCCTCTTATATAATTTATCAGTGAAATGAGAAAGGTGGAAGACAAGTGTGCTCTCCTGTCTTTCCTTTGTTTAAACAGAATATAGAAATCCCGCCAGCCTGATGGGCCAGTCCTTGAAGACAGCTCTGGAGGTCTGTACTCTTCTGGTCCTGCACGCCCCTTTCCCAGAGAATGACATTGTGAGCTCCCCCCAGAGTGAATCTTTCAAAGTGCTCATTGGAGAACCCCAAGACAGAGTGGGGCATTGCAGAGCTTACAACAATATGTTCTGTAAGAGAGGAGATATAATTTTCCCTCTACCCTTCTAATTTCTTGGCTGAGACCTCTGGAATAAAGGACAGATTAACAAGAGGAAGACAAACAGAAATTTACTAACATGTATCCTTCATGTACACATGGGAGATAGCCAGGAAAAACTGAGGAACTTCCAGAGATGGTTTAGAACTCAGGCTTCAATAGCATCTTAATAGAGAAAGACGAGGGAGGATATACTTTTAGGGGAAAGTAAATGATTTTTAGGAAAGATGAATGGGCACTTAGAATAGATGGGAGGTATGACATTTTGTGACAAAGTTGGTCTGAGTGTGGTGTTGACGCCTAGCCTCCTGTGACAGAAGTCAATCCCCCTGGATGATGAAACATCTGGGGACAGGATTTCTGACAATTGAGTTCCTTTTGGAGGATCTGTCTTTAAGCAGGTAAGAGGCGTTCAGAGAAAGCCTCTCTCAGCATTTGCTGTTTTTCAAGTGCCTACAGCTCAAGATACACAGATGGAAGTAGCATATTTTGGGTGGCATGTCCTGAACTCCTGCAACCTTATTTTGGGATGGCATATTCTGCTACACTTTAGTCCCATGATTTTTGTGTGTGTGTCTGCTGAGTGTATTTTTACACATTTGTCAGGTTTTGGTCCGAAGCTTGCTTTCATCATTATATACTCCCTGACAGTGGGGGGACGGGGGGCGCACAGTCCCACTTACCTCTTACAGCTGGTGGTGATGTTCGTAAGAACTCACGGTTGTGGAATGGCCACATTGCCCGCAGGGCTCAACTGAGAGACGAAGGGAAATCCAGTTCTGACGACATCCGTTGAGCCCTGAATTCAACTGTGGCCATGGACTTTTTCAATTACAGGGGCTGTACATTCCCCTTTGGCTTAGGCCTTTTTTTTTTTTTTTTTAACATCTGTGAAAGAAGAGTCCTAACTGATCAGCTCTTGCTAATACTACATATGAGGCTCTAACAATGTGGGAAAACAAAGTGCACCCATAACCTGTGGTTTCTGTCATCCCTAAGAAAACAAACATGTAACACACATGCACACTCTAATTCACTCCACTTTATTTGGGGATGTATATTACAGATAACACCACTCACAAACATACAGTGGACATTGAAAACTAAGGCCATTCTGTGAGTTATTTTTAAAACTTGGGTTTTGTACATAATGATCGTTTAAAAAATAAATCACCAAAACCAAGATTCTCTTCTGAATTTAAAGTAGGTACAAGACAACTTTAGAGCCATATCTGATCTGAAGCTCATCAAGACAAGACCATTTTCGTTTCTACAGCATAAATAACGGCTGTAAGGCAACCGCCCCCTCGGGGTCAAGCCCTCTTCTCCAGGTGCCATCACAAAGCAGTGTTCACCACAGTGACCAGTGTTTATAAACCAATTTCCTCCCAATGAGTAGCAAAAAGAGAATTTTCCCTAAGAAACACATTGCAGAATTCTTGGAACAAGAAAAAGAAAGGGAATCGTAACTAAGGCACTGAAAACACGTTATTTTTATAAAGTGTAAACAATTTAACACCAACAGGCTCCCTCCATTAGAATCTCTATTATAAAAGTGCACAAGGGCATCGTGGTCGGGTGAGTCCAGGTGAGATGGGAATGTCTTCCTCTCTGCAGAATTCACCCTCGGCTACCATGTACAATTTCCGACACGGAACTGTGGAAGTAACTGATTTCAAAGTGACTCAAGTGGAAGCTATATTCCCCTAATCTGCGTTGTAATAGTATACTAAACAAGCAAGGATTTTATTAGGAGTTTGAAATTATGGGCTCTAACAATTTATTTTTCTCTTAGTCTTTGACCATGTTCTCCCAGTGAACTTCACAATTGCGTTGGCTCCTTTCATCAAGGACGTCTGGTGGAAGCAGCTGTGACCTAGTCAGCGCTTTCCTTGGAGATATATATTATAAGTATGAAGGTTCATGTCCCATATAAACCACACTTGCTTTAATTCAAGTGTTTCCGAATGGTAAAGATTTAACAATTGGACATACAGCACTGTAAACATTTGGAAGTCCATTGAGTTGACCTTCCAAGGACTGTGAGGGTGTTGAGCAAGAAGATGCAGCGAGACAAGCAGCTGCTGAGTGCAGAGTGATGAAACGGGATGGTGGGGAGGGGGTCATTCCTGACTCCAAGCACAATGCCGAAGCGAAATTCCTACTTGACATTTTGTGACCAATTTTAGACAGCTCTAAGTTTCAAATCATGCATATTTCTTCAAAATTTTTTTAAATAAGAGAAAAGATAAATGCATAGGAAAACACAAATAATTACAATTTTAAAAGAACCCTTATTGCAAAAAATCCAAAAAACTTCTTTTTGAAGTTATTCCTAATTCTTAAGGCAAGTACAATGTCTATATTCTTCAGTTTTAGTGCTTAGGAATTTTGGGAAGTAAAAAAAGTTTGCATTTTGTCTTAAACACGTTTTTTATGATCAAAAGAAAACATTTTTTTAAAAAAGAAAAGAGACTTCCCCTTTTACAGGTTTCAGAGAGTTAAAGAGGATATGCCATTAAATGGAAGTTAGAGTTTGAACAAGGAGCCAGAAGAAGCTGGAGAAAGGGCAGAGGGGCCGCACTATAAAAACCTGTGGGGTGGAAACACAGCTTTTCTCTTTTACCCAGGACAAATGCAATCCTGATTGTTAAACTATTTCCGTGTTTCCAAATATAACCAAAGGAAGTCTGAGAGAAACCTAAATTAGAAGCCTCTTTTATTAAGGAAAAAAAGGTTAAAAAAAAACCCTTAAAAACCACGAAGCTAAAGAGCTGGGTCTGGAGCAGATGTGCATAATAACTAATTAGTAGCTCCTGGCAAGATTCAAAGCCACCTCGACGGAGCAGTTAAATATAGTTGGTGCATTTCAGTAGAGGCGCTAGTTAGTACTCTTCCAATAAAAGTGATGTGTCAACAGTGTTCTGCCACAACCAGTACTTTCCGAAAGCATCTGCTCGGCGAGTTCAGTTCATGATGTGCTTACCTTTCATGGCAATGCATGTTTCAATTATTGGGTAAAAGTCACTGTCGAGCAAAACTGCGATGTAATTAAGGAGAAGGCATTCATGCCAAACGAGCCTATAAAGCAATAAACAGCTTTTGAGGCTGGTTCAAGGCAAGAGTAAAGCTGACAGGTTTGCTAACAGCTAAAGACTTTTAATTGCCTCATATTTTCTGCTGCTCTGACCAGCATCCCCATTACATGACAAAAAAAGCAGTGCACAGCTCCAGCAGAGTGGAAACAATGACCACACAGTTCTTTTGCCTCACAAGGAGACTGGAGCTGTTGGTTTGCTAGATTTTCCATTGACACCAAATGACAGGAATATTTACATGAACAATTGGTCAAAAGTGGGTTTAAATTTCACTACTGAAAGAGGAAGGCTGGGACTAAAAAAGAGAGAGATCCCTTGCTATCATTAAAAAAGAGTCATTTTTGTGTTATCATTTGGTTTTAAGAGTAAAATCTGTCAAGGCTACAGGGTTGAATAATTTGGGATAAACCATTGCTACCCTGTCTGCAGAGGTTGCTGCTGTCATTTTAATGGCAGAAGTTAGATACCCATGCGCTTGGAGAAAATACAATAACCTTCCTTTTTTGGGCAGGTTTTAAAGAAATATTTCAGAAGATATAACTTCAAAAGAGAGTTTCTGACTGCAATAACAGAACATTCTTCTATGCTTTCCTTTAAAAAAGTGACTTGATGTGTATCATTTTTAACACACCAAAGCTACCCTTGCCAACAAGCTGTAATAAACCAAGATTACGTGGAAGCGAGGGACTAAACTGTATTAATTCCTATCTAAAAATTCAAATTAAGGTTTCTAAGTGGAGAGCCTGTGGTTGCTCCCTGAGACACGGTCAGGTCTTATTTTCCACGTGAAAAAACGGCACAGGTGGTCTTCTGACGTCTATATCGGTGTGAGGCTAAATGCTGAGATTTTATGAATAATGAAGGGCTTCTATCAAAATGTTTGGTCAGTGCAAGGACAAGGGGCTTCGGTTTTCTGGTCTTAAGGATGTAATGGTTTGGCACAGAAAGGAGCGCGGGGACACAGCTGAGGGACGGGGCCAGAAGGGAGGGCCCTCACCTCAGAGTCAAGTGCCAGCACCTGATCTGGGCCAGCGCTCACGAGCCCCACATGCGCTTCTTGTCTGGGGAGTTCGTTAGGAAATAGAATTGGGCCTGTAAGAAAATCTTGTGTGTACCTTGTCTGTGAACAGCCTGATGATTGTTTAATAATCCTCTGGCCTGAGTTATTTCACAGCAATTGCTCCCTGCTACGCATATTGAAATTACATTCAGAGATTTAAAAAAAAAATTTGTGTGTGTAGCAATATTTTTCCACAAAACTAAGTGCAAAATATCTTTAACAAATAACGATGATAGTAAGAAATATTTGACAGTCATGCAAAAAATGCATCTCAGTTTACAAAGGCTTAGAACATTTCCAAAATATCCCCTAGGTTTCTACACTGTGAACCTTACAATCTTACTCATTTTTCTTTGCATTTAAATGTGGCTGTTTGTGCAACAAACGGTAACATGCAAGTTCGATGATCTCCAGTCCACCAAATATCCTCTCTTGCAGCACGAAGATGACAATGGTGATTATAAAATACCACCGAACAAGACTGTACAAATATATGAGGAGGCACATTGCAGGGCTGAACAGGGTCCAATATAGTATTGAGAGAAACTTGACCACAAGGACCCTGAGCTCAGACTTGCAAGGTGGAATTACAGTCTGTCCAGTAAAGTAAAAATTCTTCTCCCCTTGGTAGAAGGAGCGCAGCCTCTCTTCTTTTTCCTCCCACCGCTTGTGGCACCAGAGCTGGAGGTCCTCCTTGGATGTGGGGAGGGTGTCTATTGGATACCGGTGGACGTGGAAGTGTATCTCCTTGGGGAAGTTCCCACAGAGGAGGTGCCTCTCTGTCTGAGGAATGTTGTGAGGGTATGCCACCGTGATGTCATGGACAGCATCAAGGTTCTTACCTAGGTTTTGGAAAAGATAAAAATACAGATTGAGTAATGATCAATTCGGGCAGCAATGCTGACTCACACTGCAAGGCAGAACCAAAACAGGAAACAATCAGGACAGAGTGAACCCTGATGAATAAATAGGGCTATAAATACTGGTGTGCCTGGGCACTGGGTCAATATTTACCAGTCGTTTTTAGTTTTTTATCTGCTTGCTAATTACCTTGAAGACCTTTAGAAAAAAATTATCTTTATTTGTAGAAACAGTAATCTGCCATTCTAGAACTAAATGGACAAACACATTAAATTGGATTTGAGACAAGAATAAAAGAGCAAAGGACTAGCCCTTTTACACCAAAGGGATTCGCTGTGTTGACACCTCCTATTAATACACCCTCCTCTCCAAACAGAAACACAGACTTTCTCACCTTTAACCCAATACTACCGTGACAGCTACTGGAAAGAAAAACTCAGAATCAGATTTGATAAAGGTCAGAAACACACGACAACTTCCATATGATTTTTTTATTTTTAATAATAAGTCAACTTGAAGTCCGAGTAAGGCCCTGACCAGATAGTACACCATCATCCTTAGAAATCTCATGATTAATTACTTTGGAGTTAAGTGTCTTCAGCCAAGTCATCTGCCAGATGCTGGAGATAGAGAGATGAATAAAACATGGTCCCTAACCTCACTCAAGAGTTCACAACAGAATCAGGGAGACAGGCATGCACAGGGCCCTAAACAAACCACAGAGATTTATGGAAGAGGATAGGTAGGCGGGGGTGGATGGTGCTGGCTCCGCAGGTGGAGCGGTGGGAGAGGAATGTCCAGCACAGTGGGGCTGAGGGCACTAGAAGTAGGGTGAGGCATACAGGATAGGCCCTCATTGACAAACTTTAGAATCTGAACTCAGTTCTGTAGGTGGTAGAGAAGCACCTTAAATGGTAGAGAACGCTTAAAGATTCTTAAACAGAGAAGGGACCAGAATATGTTACATTTTAGCAAGGATTACCTTAGGGCAATGACAAGAATGGTTTGGAAAGGACCAGGGTAAGAGAGGTATAAACAGTAATTTGATGGTCATTACAAGGAAAGAAAGGCAAGAAATGAAGAGGAGGTAGGGGCCAAAGGAAGTGACATGTCCAAAAAAATTACAAGGAAGAACTGATGTGACAGAGTGTGGTCAACTGGAAGTGGGAGGGAGGACAGGGTGGAATGAGGCCAGGTTTGTTTCAGACTCAGTGTACTTGAATGGATGGTGGGACCTCTGAGATTAGAAATGTAAATGGAGTGTTAGATCTTTAAGGATTCATGAAAATCACCTAATTGAATCCTGTATACAAGGCCCAGAGAGGTTAAGTTTTTTGCCCAAAGGCACACAGCGTTGTTGGTGCATGGTCTCTGAATGTTGCTTTCTTCCATATGATATCTTCAGTGAGAGTGAATCTACGTGGACTCTGATTTGTTACAGAACTATATGATGTAAGTAGAATTAATCTGTGGTGACAGAAATCAGAATAGCGGTTGCGTATGGGGGTGGGAAATGACTGGAAGGGAGCATGAAGAAATTTTCTGGGTGGCAGAAACATTCTATGTCTTGATTAGGGTGTGGATTACATCAAATTGCACATTTAAGACTGTGCAATTCACTCCATTTAAATTTTACTTCAATATTAACTTCCCACCTTATCTCACCGTGTCTACCCTTTCCACCCAACCTATTAGGTTGTACTTATTTTTTGTCAATGAGTCTTTAAGTCTTCTGTAAATGTGCACTGCCAGTCTCCTTTCCTCTGTGATTTACTTTAAGGTAAGGACCAGGTTTCAATTTGGCTCATAACTGTCTTATGGTCAGGCCTTCATAACAGCTATGTCATAAAAAATGAAAGTACCTACATCAAAAAGGCTTAGATTCAAAATTGGAGGGACAGTCCTTTAGGGATGCTGTACACTGTTTACAAGAGAGTAGAGGAGGCGCCACTAAAGGCTCGTGGAAGAAGGCTCCAGCACAGTTGGATCTGAATGCCTAGAAGAAAGAGTGGGCCAGACCTGTTTGGCTCTGAAGAAGTGGGTCCAGTGATTAGAAGCCACAGGGAAAGCTTTCTAACTGAGCTGTCGAGAAGTCATGTATTCACCAGCTGAGAAAAGGCCAGCTGGCCACTTGCCTGGTACATTATAGCGGGAATTTACACACCAGAAGTGGGGCTGTCCGATCAACTACCCAAACAAAGACCCACTCTTTCACTGGTACACTGAGCATGACACATCAACTAAGATGGCAATATAATTTGTCTTCCTGTTAACTCGCTGCATTAAAAATCAAGCAACCTTTTGTCTATTAGCATGAATCATGACTATCCTGCTCCTTGACAGGGCACTTTCCCTTGACTCCAGAAGCTAGTTTCATACTTCAGTACACCCTCCACCTGAAGACCTCAGAGCCCATTCATTTATGCCCACCAACCACAACCACGATCCTTGTTCTAGTTGCCATACCTCACCTCCATCTACCCTCTTCCCACTTTCTGTCACAATGGAGGGAAATAAGCTGTCATCACCTCTTGTCACTTGTCATGCCACTTAGCCTCTAATTCAGAATTGAGTTCGCATTTCATTTACTTTCAAAACTCCTCCGCAAACATTTCTGCTTCCATCTTCTGCCCAGACTCTGTCGGGTTACTGGTCTCGTCACCTCCTTTGTTCACAGCCTTGGATGGTCTCCTTCCCCAGGCAGCTCCCACCAACTTCCTACTCAGTTATTGTACACCACTTCTCACAGCTCCTCTTCAAGAGCCGCTATATGGCCCAGCCTTTCTTCTGTAGGTGGTTTGTAATGCTTATTGAGCAAATACAATCATGTAGTATTACAAAATGGTATAGCAGTAAGTTATTTACTCTACTAATAAGAAACTAGATTGCCCTTTGCTTTCTGCTTTCTACCTGACAACCCGTAGGGTAAGCTGTGTGTGTATGTGTATGCACACGTGTCTGTTCGAAATATAAATAGCAAGTTTTGAGACAGTGATGGTATCACTTACAGAAATGTTCCTAAGTGAAAAATCCTAGATTCACTGCAGTGCAGAGCATCAAGGGCTGTGGAAGCAGACTTTCTGGGTTCAAATCCTAGCTTTGCCTCTTACCGAGTGAATTACTTAATCTCTGTGACTGACTTAGTTCCTGTATCTATAAACTACCTCATAGGGTTGTTGTGAGGATTAAATGAGATAATAGACATAAAAACACATAAAACAGGATCTGACACATAGTAAGTGCTCAATAAATGTTATTTGCTGTTATTATTATTGAATCATAATGTTATCATGTTGGCCTCTAACATGTCTCTCTAACTTTAGCTTCTATTATTAGTCCACTGACGCCAGCATGGTATCTGCAAGGAAAATACAGCAATTGAATGCCCTCTCTATACCACTGTCCAGGGCACTATTTGCCTGGGCCAGAAAGATGCCAATTAGGGGCCTCATGTCTTCTACTCAAGACAAATGTTCAAAATATTATTTCGCAAAACTGCTGAAACATTCCCTCTGCCTCAATATACAAACTCTGACATATTTTATCTCAACTCTCTTCAAAGTCCAACTCAAATCCCAACAGTTCTAAGAAGAGCTTTCTTCAAGTATCCAGGCCCAGAATGATCCTGCCCTCTATGAATGCTTAAGGCACACGCACTGATGCTCACTTGGACTCTCAACTGCCATCCTATACCAAATGACTAGAAGCTCATGGAAACCTACAGCGCCCCAAGGAACCACAAGTACCTTAACGACAAGGACCATGCCTCTCTAGAATCTCGGTACCTAGCACAGTGCCCTGCACTTAAAGAGGTTCCAAAAATGCTTATTTGAGCAATATTTTTATGGTCTACTATCTTCTCGTCTAAAAATACAGGAGCGAATTATAATGCCTTCTACACAAGGTTGTTATAACAATTTAGTAAACCAATGTGCATAAAGCTCTTTGCATAGCACTGGGCACACAGAAAGTTCCAAAATGTTAGCATCTACTACAACTTCTAGTTGATGAGACTGACTTGCTCCACTGGAATTTTTTCAACTTGGGTTCTATGAATTGTTGGTTCTGAATGAATTACAATAATTTTGGGTGGGGATGGTGAGGTGTCACCTTAAAAAAAGGCAATAGTCCAAAAGTTTCTAATAAATTGCTTGTTTGGAATTTAGAACTTTGGAATGATATAGCTCAACATAATTGAAATACTATCTATTTATATTATAAACAAGAGCAACACTGTAATGTTAGAAACTACAAAAGACAATAAAGTGGAAAAGGGAGAACTGGGGAAGGAGAGAAGAAAGATAGCTTATACATTTGTCATTATTTCCCTGAGCTGCGCTGGATCTTTAAGCATCACGGAGACTCAGAAATGTATTAATGCCAGAGCAAGAGAGGAGGAAAAGGAGAAAGGCTTTTACACCTGGAAGTATCTTGACAATTTTTAAACTATATATTAAGTAAAAGGTCTCCAGACAACACAAAGCCACATGTAACTCTTTACTGCTAACAGAAGAGCTTACTTCTCACATCCTCCCATCAAGACCTCCTGGGCCCCATGGCCTCTAGTCTGGGGGAGCCATTACTACCAGACAAATCAGCTTCCTCCTGGAAGGTGACAGGTAAGGGGTTAGCAGGGCTTGCAGGGCTGCAGTCATATGTAGGTGACAATAGGAAATGGATATTCAAAAGTTGAGATGTGCTTTTATTTCATTCACCAATTTATAAAAGGGCTAAAATAATGCAATAAGAGATTAAGAGAAGTTCCTGCAATTACAAAGGATTTATACTTCTTTAAATCTTTTGGTATGAAAATATATTTTTAAATATGCAAATTAAGATGGCTGCCATCAGTAAAAGCCATTTTTAAAAGATTTCATGGCTTTTTAGATAGCATCTATATTTGTAAATTAAGCTATCTAGCCACATGTCATCTGCCTATATGGGGCTTAGAACCTGGATCTGTTCTGTTTCCAATACTGTA